TTTTAATATATTTTTGAAACTGAACATACTTGTGGAATGGAGAAGGGAAGATTTCTAATTTTATGTGCGATCTAAAGAAAAGTGTTGAAGTTCCTCTTTTAAATTGCCACTTTAAATTATTATTTGATAAAAGAGAGGCTATACATTTTTTCGGATTAGATCAAATATAATAGGATATAATCTGAGAGAGGAGACAAGTGACCAAGCCTTTATATATATACTGGGTTTTTTTCTGACACATGCATTTCATTAAATCTACTCAATCTCCAATCTCTTCACCCCAATATTGCATATTAATTCAGAAACTAATACATTCTAAAGCAAAAAAATAGTTTTTCACATATGTGAAAAATTGTCATGTTTTAATTATGTATTGGTCCTCTTCTGCAACTTAAAAAATATTGCAAACACATTTGAGCTGCAAAAACATAAACATCTCTGCATCAATTTTCCACCTCCTAATATTAGCATGAAGACAAATGGAATGGTTGCTACAGTCAGATCTCAGATCCGATGCTCAGGAGTATTATACATAAAGCTCTGATAAATAGTGTTTACATGTAACATGATAGATCTGGGAAAAACAGAGCATTGCTTAACTGCATTGCTTAAAAATGTTCAAAGATGAACACACATAATAGTGGAAGATTAAAATTAAGATATCAGTCTATATAGATTTAGACTCACTGTGATAAACACAGTCTTGGACTAAGCAGTAGAAAGTTTGGTCTTATACAGCGTTCTTACTTTTTTCTCTCTACATGACCAAAAGAGATAAGTGTTTCCAGTTATCATCATAATCATTTATTATTTTTCATGCCTAGTCAACTGAGGTTACTGTAAGTGGTTTATCCTCAAACCAAATAAAAATCATACCAATATTTGTAGCAGTTACAATTTTAAAGCATTTTCCAGTTAAATCTGTAGTGATCATAAAGGTGGACAAGAGAAGCAGACAGCAGTCAAAAGTTGCATTGTTGGCTTATACTCCATCATACATGTAAAATTGTAAATGTGCCCTGTCATTAGGAACTCACTCACACCTTCGACCTGATTACTGCAATGGGTTCTGTATTGGCTACCTCTGTAGACTATTCAGGAGCTGTGATCAGTATAAAATACAGCCATCTGTCTGAGTGAAAGTCCACTATATGGCAATAATATCAGTGTAGCAAGGATGAGAAAGTTCTGATTTAGAGCTATAAAGCCAGGTCTCCAAGACCTTCTGCTCAAGTCATAGAATCTACATCCGTTGCTGAAGGAAGGATATTAAGGGTTCTTCCATATGTGAACTTCAGGGAGACCTGTTCAGTTTCAGTTGTGATTTTATCCCTCTGAAACAGGCATACCCTGGATGGGGCTTGCTCTACTTATGTTGGGAAAATTAATTAAGGCTGAGCTGCTTCACAGAATTTTTAGGATCCAATTTGAGTTGGTCACTGGGACCAGAGGTTTAGTCTTTCAAGCTTCCAGGGAACTTCTCTCTACACACATTCCAGTAGGGAGAAGTTCCCAGAGAACGGGCTCCAGCACAAGTCCAAAAGCTTGGAAGACTAAACCTCTGGTCCTGGTGACCAAGCCAGATTGGATCTTGCAATATTATCCTGGGACATGTATATTTCCTTCATTCGTCAAGAATTTTTAATTGTTTAGGTTGCTATTGGAGGTGACAAGTCAAAGATTTTTTTTTATTACATTATGCATTTGCCATTCTGTTTTAATTGTATTTGTTATGTTTGGATTGATTTTAAACATATATTTAACCACACATTTTAAATGTATGTTTAAAATTGGAGTGTGGCAGTCTATAAATATAGCAAATAAAAAAAAATACAGTCACTCTCCAAAGAAATATATGTATAGAAGCTTGGACTACTGCAATGTGCTCTACATGGGGCTACTCTTGAAGAGCAATTGGAAGCTGCAACTGGTGCAGAGTGCAACAACATGGGCGGTCTTTGTGGCCCCCTAGAGTGGCCCATGTTACACTTCTGATCCAAGAGTTGCACCGACTACTGGTTTGCTTCTAGGTGCAAGTCAAAATGTTGATATTACCTGTAAAGCTCTGCATAGCATGGGTCCAGGTTACTTGAAGAACTATCTCACCCCTATGGGGCAGGCCCATCCCACCTGTGCTGGCAGAAGATGCATGCAGCAGATCTCATCTGTCAAGGAACTCTGGCTGGTGGGGTCCAGGAGAAAAGCCTTTTCTACTATGGCCCTGGCCCTTTTGAATATCTCGCCCCCTAAGATGAGATTGTCTCCCATCCTTCCTTATTTTCCATAACAGCCTGAAAATCTGGCTCTGCCAGTTGGGTTGAGGCCCTGTTGGGAGAATTATATTATATTATATTATTTCATTATATTCTCCTCCCTCTCCATCTTTAGTTATAGCTTGTATTTATTTGTAATTTCAATGTGATTTTATATATTCATGGTTCATTTTAATGTTGTAAGCTGCCCAGAATTTCCTTGTCGTGAGGTGGGTGGCAAATCAATTTAATAAATAAATCCACATCCACACACACATATGTATGTATACACACACATACATACACATACACACACAAACATATACAGAAGATTAATTAAATATGTGCTCATCTTTCCTTCTGTCATATTATTTTTTATGTAGCCTCCAAGCTTTCTAAAAATAACTATAATATACCAACGTGTATCAAAACAGTATGCCTCAGGTCATTGTTAATGGTAGTGAATCCGTTTAGAAACAAAGTTAAGAAATGAGGCAAACTGTCCTCTGAAATATGGTAAGGACTTGTTTGTGGACCCTAGAGTGCCAAAATGATGGGTAGAGTATTTTGTGGAGCCTTTTTAATATTATTTGTGAAAGAGCAGTCCTGTCTCATTTAACATTTCAGGATTAAGTGGAACAATCTGAAATGCAAGTCTGATCTTGACAAATGTGAAGTGTTATCCAGTGGCAGGCTTATGTAATTATACATTTCTTGGTAGAATCTGAATTCTAAAGCTCTTATAGATCATTACATCCTATATCTTATCCAGTGCAAGAATCTAAATCATTTTCAACAAATCTAGCTCCAGTATGAAGACCTTTAGTGTGGCAAAGTACATTACTGCTCTAGATAGACTGCTCCAACCATTAACATCTGCTTCTGTCAGAAGGTTCGTCCTAATATTCAAGTTGAATCTCTTTTCTATTAATTTCAATTGATTGGTTTAATGTTAATATTCATTATTTTAATATTTTAATGTTTTATCTTATTGCATTTACTTGGTTATAAGCTGCCTAGAGTCCCCTCTTGGTGAGATGGCTGGCATATAAATTTAATAAATAATAAATGAAGACCCTATTCTTTGGGAAGTTAGTTCCTTTAAACATTCTTCATAGGATTTGGCTTCCTTCATCATCATGGTTACTTCTTGTGTGATGCAATAGCATCTTCTCCGTGTCCCTTTTAAAGTATCGTATTTAGAATGCTGTTACATTCTGACTTGCTTTTACTAATGCAGCCCAATATTTCATTGGTCTTCTAAGCTGCTGCCTATTTATATTCAGCTAGTGGTTTATTAGAATCTCTAAATCATGTGCAGTGCTGTCAAGCAGATCTTTTCAATCCTGTATCTATGCACATGATTTTTCTTACTTCAACACTGGACCTAAAAGTTATCACCATTGATTCTCATCTTTAACCCAGTGTTAAAGTTTTTACTTAGAATGGTGATTTTGTCCTCTATGATGTTAATCTCACAAATTTGTTCAATATTCCTTCCTCTCCTTCCCCTGGATTATTTAGAAAGGTGCTGAAAAGGCTGAAGTCTATCAGGTTCTATCTACAAGAAGTTTTAATATTTTGCCTGAAACATGGCAGGTATTGAAAGAAAAACAATATTAGAGTAGGATCAAGAGCATCTTTTAGGAAAGGAGATCTCCATTAATAATCAGCTCCCTTTTATTTGCCCTGCAGTTCAGGAAATATAGCTGAGTAAGATCTGGATGTCATCAAGATGATGTTTCTTTGTGGCAGTAAATCAGGAGTGGGCAACCATTGACCTACACATCCTAAATGGTATTACTGCTCCTTTGGTAGTGTTTGTGTGTGTGCGTGTGTGTGTGTGTGTGTGTGTGTGTGTAATCTAGCTTGCATTCTATTAACATAGAAACATGTGCAATACTATGTTATGCAGCAACAAACATGTTTGATACCAATGCAAGATAATTTCCCGTGTAACGCTAGACAGATTTACTCAAAGGTAAATCCCTATTTCCAGTAGGGGCTAAAAGCTACAAGCAGAAGTTATTTGCTTTACTCATACCAGCATAGTAAACCTCTACAGCACTGTTTCTCAACTTTGGCAACTTTAAGCACTGTGGGACTTCAATTCCCAGAATTCCCCAGCCAGCCATATTGGATCAATAGGCTCTTCTTCCACTGTTAACCAAGTAGATCAAGAATGTTTCTATAATATGATTCTAAAAATGAAGAGTCTTCTTTAACTGTGGATGCTGGTGGTGGCCAGGAAGCAGTGGCAATGAGGTCAAAGACAGACCTGAGTTGCATTCTCCAAAATAGCCTGTTTCCTTCAATTTCAGGGAGAGATAGTTTTCTGTTTCTACTGAGGAAGAACATTAAATTACCAGCCTAGTCATTTCCTACATATGGAAATAGAGCACTATCTCATCTTTCTAAATATTTCCTGCTGGATGCAAAGTACATTTCAGTATATCTTATGGTGGACTCAAACATAGAAAAGGAAAAACCACATCCTAAGGGCATTTCTTATATTAAAAATCACATGTGCAGATGGTCTGGCCTGCATTCTCCCTTGAAAAGCAGGAGAATGAGAAATGAAACTACAATGAGCTTTAGCATAAAATTCCTCCTTTCTTCCAAAATAGTCAGTTTCCTATCAGAGGAGACTTCCCGTGCCAATAGACACACTTTAGTGATGTTCTGCCAGGGACCATATTTGTAAGAACCTTCTTTAGTAATTTATGCTTTCCCTCTTCTATCCTGCAGGGTCTCCCTACAGAGACAAAATAACTATAGCCATTCTTCACTTGCAAGAGGAAGGCAAGCTGCACATGATGAAGGAGAAATGGTGGCGAGGAAACGGTTGTCCAGAAGAGGAAAGCAAAGATGCCAGTGCCCTAGGAGTACAAAACATTGGTGGCATCTTCATTGTTTTGGCAGCAGGATTGGTACTTTCCGTCTTTGTGGCAGTGGGGGAGTTTTTGTACAAATCCAAAAAAAATGCTCAGTTGGAGAAGGTAAATATTGCCCTTTTCACATTTAATTCTGCAATTATGGTCTAGTCAGAATCTCTTGGGCAACCAACCAAAAAGCCATTCTGATGTCTTTCATAGTTTTGCTCACATCATTAAAGTTCTTTTAGGGAATGAGCACTGCAATTTTCATCTTTACAACTTTTAATGTGCCGTCAATATTTTTAATTGTAGCCAGCTTTCAGGACAAGTGACTATTTCTCCTCTTATTCAAGCTTGAAAAAAGACACCTTTTTACTCCTGGAAGTTCACTGCAGTTAATTTTATGGATGAAGAAGAAAGTGAAATCTGTTAATTGGAAACAAAATTAACCTTCTACAGATAGAGCTGGGTATTAACTGAAACAACTTTCTATCAGTCCAAACTCAGAAGTCTAAAAAACAGCTTTCTCTATGTCCTTACTGGAAGGTGTTTACTCTTCAACATATGATGATAGCATCTGGAAAAGCATTAAGTCAATATATTAAGGATTTACTATTGATTATGATTTTATCATCTATAACTTGGACAGATTCCAATTTTAAAATATAAAATTTTGAACTTATTTGATACTGGATCAACAACTGGATGGCTGATTACTTTTCCAAAGAGACAAAAGCATCCATAGAAGTTTTGTTTCAGTACTTATCTGTATATATGTAATACGTAAAATGAGAAAACTTGTCTTTTATTTATATGGATTGCTATGAATATACATTTAAAAACAGGGAAAAATATGTTTTGCACAGCTGAGGAGCTTGTGACCTCCTTAAATGCCTATTTGGCATTACTATTATTAAAATGTACAGTAAATCCAGGAAAACATACATTAAAAACACACATAGAGTATATATTTCTTTTGCAGATGCTATGTTTAATAGTTCTCATAATTTTAACAGTTTGGGGACTTCTGAATTTGCACTTGTAGATTAATCATACTTGTACCACATTTATTTAGTATGCAGTTGTACGTAGTTCACTGATGTAAGTGTGTATAGGTCACTATCTAGTTTTTTCATTAGTAACACATATATTATTTTTTTCAAAGTTCTGTTAGAAGAAATATTGATATTAACTTTTTTTAAAAAATGGATGAGGTCACAAGTTCCTTATCAATTCTTTGAATATGTATGTGTTTCACTAAATTATAGTATGAGTGAAAATTTAGTTTTTCGCTAATTATGGGGGATGAATTTATTCTGTCAAGATAGTTTTGGAGTTTTTAGTAATTAAAATGAACTTTTCTTTTAGAAAATGGACTTCAATCATGAATGTATGCATCATAATGGCTTTATCCTTTTTAAGAACAATATGTCAGAAATGAGTGATTGTTTTGTATTCTTGGTCTGTAATTTTTTTATAAATACTATTTTTATTTATATATAAAATTTAAACATTTTATTGTGAGTTTTGTAATATAATTGAAGTTGCATTTAAGTGGCTTAGATGCAGCTTTAGTTGATATATAAGAATATGATGTGAACAGCATGACTTATCTTCCTAAGCACTGAATGAATATGCATATATATAAAATATGATTTTTACAATGATTTAATATTGCAGCTCAGTTCATATATTAAGCAATCTTGAATTGTTCAAACACTTCTGTAATATAGCACTGATCTTTTCTTTCATTTGTGGTACACAATGATCTAGATGTATGTGTTTCTTACATGGAGATATAATAGTGAGAGATTATGGCTGTGCATAGATTTTACCGTAAAACTGAGCTTTGGTTATAATAATCTGAATGAAAAAGAATAGAGAACATGGACATATGTGCCAAATCGAGTTCAAGGACTTACTAAGTGCTGTTTTTTCTCTTTGACTGATGATGATCACATCACAGCTTTAGATGACTATACACAGAAGCCTCGTTGAGTTAGAAACCCAGATGATGATGATAATGATGATGATGATATATAAGATTTACATTCCATCTCAAATAATCTAGAAGTGTTCATAATTATTGGGAGGTTGGCATTCTAAACATGTTCAGTTTAGTGCAGGTAGAAACTACTTGAGTTTTGAACATCACTGGAATGAAGGTGATGGAAGCACTACAAGCTAGTGCAAGTAGTAATTTCTGTCCCGTTCATGCCTAACATGAATTATGCCCTCCTGATTTTTAAAAACCCACATGACACATATTATTAAGACAACACAACATTTTTGGATCAGTTCAGAAAATGTGCCACAATGTGCATATGAGTGAAAACATACTACTTCTTTATAGCTTTTGTAAGTTGCTCTGTGTGTGTGTGTGTTAATGGAATTGGGAGCTGCTCTGGGCAGCTGTTTGAAAGATTTGCAATCATAATGTTATGTTTGTATCACCATGTACCATGAAACACATTCTTGGAATCAAATTTGAAGTGCTGCACAGCCTTACCATATAATGCTTCATTTTAGAGGCATGTTATACTGTATGCATTTTCATTTTCTTGTTTGATTTAAAAGCTATTTCTTAGCATATAGCCCAAACATGACAATGTATTGAGCTGATTCTCAGGCACTATGATGACTATTCTAAAAATGAATAGCCATTGCTTATTTTATTGATGAGGCTGCATGGCCATGCCAGTCTGTAGCAATATAATCAATCAAAAATATTGTGGCACTTTAAGGGCTATCAAGGAATGTTTGGCCCATAGTTTCATCAGATGTACAAATCAGACTATCTATTCAACTTCTTGCCGTATTGAACTCTATGAACAGGCACTTTGAAAGTGCCTGTGGGGAAGCAGACCCATGTGAATAAATTCTCAGTTTCTAAGTTAATGATTTCCTTATGGCAAAAGCAGGAATTGCATTCTCATGAAAAGAATCCCAGAAGTCAACAATCAGATTGATCATATCAACTACTTCTCATTTTTCTTTTTCTTTAAATAATTGAATTGACTACATTAAGCTGTTAGCTGCTGATCATTGAGCCGTTAGCATCTGATCTTGTCAATGCAGCCATTGCTAGGAAGTAGGTGTTTGCAACTTTTCTCCTTGATAACATTTATCATTTGAGTTGGGTATGATATGGTCAGAAGTATTTCTCATTTGATGACTTTGTCACTGCAGATGTTTGTGGGTATAATTCACTTTTTGGTGCTAAATCACAATTCCCGATGTCAAATGGATTTATGATGCTGTCTCTCACCTTTTCTTAGATCAGCAGAGGTCTTGAAGAATGGCAGAGTGTGCTGCTATTCTCTTTTCTAACGTGTGCTCCTGTTGTTATCACCACCATCACCTTAATTTAATAGTACTGTGGAAGAGTTTAGTTTGAAAATGATCATTACATCTGGTTTTCAGTCTGTTTAGCAAGTGAAAAATGATGTCCCATTGTCTGAAGGCCACACCATGTTACTTTTTGATTTGGTCCCATCTATATTTCAATTAAAAAAAAATCCCCCTTTGCCAAATAGTCATCAAAATCTATTGGTCTGCTTCTATCTGAGAACACATAGGTAGACACGATAATTTGTAAATGACCTTTATAACACTGAATATTCAGTTTAAAAGTATATTAATGGAACCTTTAGGAGCAAGAAGAAAAGAAACTCAGATATGCATGACAGAGAAAGAAAGAAAGAAAGAAAGAAAGAAAGAAAGAAAGAAAGAAAGAAAGAAAGAAAGAAAGAAAGAAAGAAAGAAAGAGAGACAAAGAAAGAGAGAGAGAGAGAGAGAGAGAGAGAGAGAGAGAGAGAGAAAGAAAGATTAGTGAAATATGAATTGATATATTGTTATTGTAATGAAATTCATCTACAAATGTATATTCTAGATTTTCTTAATCTAGGAAAGATTTCAAAACCATACAAACAGTGATTACCATCAATACGTATGATTTGTGTTGTGAAAGACAGTTTTCTTTGTACACCAAGAAATATATATTTACGGTAAATGCATTTTTTTAAAAGGCATATGTATCTTGATCAAAGTAAATTTGTTAAATAATACCATAATTCTAATATTGGTTGCCTGAAAAATTTCAGCAGTGTCTTATTTCTATGAAATCATCACAAAATAACCAGATCTAAAGCAATCAAATATTTGGGAGATTTACATTTATTTTTTTATTGCTGTTCTTTTTCTTTAAGCAGTTCTTGAATTAGAAAAGACCAAAGGAATCCTGGGCCATCTTCCATGCTGTTTTTGTAACTAGGTTACAATTTAGCAAAATTGGTAGTGGATGCACTTTGATTTCATTAAGACCTCTCTTTTTTTCCATAAATCAAATATGGATGAACAAATAAACAAATAAATCTGTATCTTATAAATAATATATATGTCTGAGAATGCTTTAGGACAAATATGCAACAATCAACATTTTTGTGTGGATTGAAAGTTAAAATTAATATAGAAACACAAAATACATACCTGATTTTTTTTAAAAAAAAATTGTTCACTCATTGTGTGGTTAATAGTCATGTTTTCTGATATGCAGTATCTTAGTGAATACAAGTGAATGTGTGTGCATGTATATGTGTGTGTGTGTGTGTGTGTGTGTGTGTATATATATATATATATATAGTACGTCTATACCTATACATGCATACAAAAATAGAAAATACAAAGATGCTTAATGGTTTTTGGTTTTGTTTTAGATGTTTTATGTGCTCAAATCATTTTTTGACTTTGGAAACTGTCTGAACTAATCCCTGAAGTTTTCTTGGCAAGGCTTTTCAGAAGTGGTTTCCCCTTGCTTCTTCCCTAGGGCTGAGAGAGTCACTGGCCCAAGGTCTCCTAGCAGGCTTAGTGCCTAAGATGGGACTAGAACTCACAGTCTTCTGGCTTCTAGCCACTTAACCACTACACCAAACTGACTCTCCTGTAAATTTATTAGCTTTATTTTAAATTATGTTCTCTTAGACCAGACATGTCAAACTCGCGACGTCACGTGATGTCGTGCAACGTATCGGGACGGTTTTGCCATTGCCGGCAATGGGGTGGGCGCGGCTTCCAGATGACGCAACCGGCCAGCAGTTTGACATCCCTGTCTTAGACAATTATAT